CCGGTCATGATCTCACGGTTCGTGGGTTCGAGCCCCGCGTCTGGCTCTGTGCTGACAGCTCAGAGCTTGGAGCCTGTTTCAGATTCTGTGTCTCCTTCTCTCTCTGACCCTCCCCTGTTCACCCTGTCTCTCTCTCTCTCAGAAATAAATAAAAAACATTTAAAAAAAAAAAAAAAAAAAGAGCTGAGCCCTGGGAAAGCCTGTTAGGAATAATTTCCACCATCCAACAACACTCATGGAGCTCTGATTCTGTGCCAGATGTCACGGGGAATGCATTTCCCCACTTAAAATCCACCCTCTGAGGTGGGCTACGTGACGGGGCCCCACTTGACGGATGAAGACGAGGAGTCCTGAGGAGGCTTAACAATTTGCCCAAGGAGCAGAGCAGGATTTGAACTCAGGCAGCCTCACTCCACCCCCCACCGCCGCCCCGCCTTGTTCATCTTTGCAGTGTCCAGAGCTGCTGTGTCATTCGGCGCCACCCGTGGACTGGGCGCCCTCCCACAGGCTCTCCGTGCATGATTTCTGTCAGTCCCTTCAATGACCTCCCAGAGTTGATGCTGCTGTTATCCCCATTTTCCAGGTAAAGAAACTGAGGTTGCAAAGGCAAGGTGATTTGCAGAGGTTAGTTGCTTAGGAAATTAGCAGACCTGGGACTAGACTCAGGCTGTCTGTCTCTGGAGTACAGGGCTCTGCCATTTGGTCCTTCACTCCCACTGCCTCGCACTGGGCTGGGCCGGCTCAGAGCAGATTTCTGGGCAAGTCTAGGGGCACGATGCCCTTGTTCTTGAAGCACCGGCTAGTGGGAGAAGCAGACGTGGCCCCAGAAGCTGAGGTTGAGACTGAGGTCCACAAGAAAAAGAGCTTAGAGTAGACAAAACAGACAAAATAATGCCCTCCAAAGATATTGGGGCCCTAGCCCCCACCCCCAACCTTTGAATCTGTTACCTTTACCAGCAGAAAGGACTTTGCAGTCTGAAGGGAGGCACTTCAGCTGGGGAGGAGACCCTGGCTTATCTGGATGGACCCCGTGTCCTCACGAGGGGCCTTATAAGAAGGGAGGGAAGAGGGCCTGAGTCAGAGAGAGAAAATGTGATGAAGAGAACAGATCAAGGTGCTGCAGGACCACAAGCCAAGGATGCAGCGGCTTCTGGAAGCTGGAAAAGGCAAGGAAAGAGCCTCCAGAAGGAATGTACCTCTGACAGCCCATTACTAGACTTGACCTCCAGAACTGTATGGTAATAAACTTGTGGCGGCCACTGAATTGTGGTCGTTTGTTACAACAGTCATAGGAACCTCATATGGAGCTTAACTTGGCTGAGGAGAAAGGGAGTGGAGGAAGGCGGGGGTGGGGGGGAGTGCATCCTGGAGGAGGCAGCATGCAGCTGAGTGGCTGCCTAAATAGCCTCAAAGCTCAGTCCTCCATCGTTCTTCGTACTATACTTGCAATGCGGCTACCAACATTTAAATTTTGATTAATTAAAAGGAAATACAATTTTGAACTCAATGCTTCCGTTGCACTAGACCTGTTTTCAGTGCTCGACAGGCTTGGGAGACCAAGCACCTTGCCAGATGGCATAAAAGTTCTACCGGACAGCACCATATACGGTCCCGATATCCAGCTGTGTAAACAGAGGCTCAGAGACGGTGAGTCCCACGGATCCCAGAGCTAACTTCACCCTCAGCCTTCTCAGTGGAGGAAAAGCATGGGTCACAGAGGCTGACGGCAGCCACCCCAGGCTCAACCTTTGTTAACTGAACCACAAATTACCCACCCACCGGCTGTAAGGAGTCATGACCCTTAGCAGAGCTGAGAACAGTTTATTTTGACCTCCTTATCCGTCTTCCTTAAACGCAGGGTGCGCCCTGAGGAGGGCAGAGGAGAGGCCTCGGTTAATAAAAGGTTCTGCCTTAACAGAGGCTGCAGGGAATGAAGCGTCTCTACGGGCACGGAGTATTTGTGGTTGCGACTGAGGAGTGCCACGTGGTCCCGTGATCAACCGTGGGCTCCTCGACCCACCAGGTCCATCATCTCTATTTCCTGGCATACGGGGCACTTAAGAAAGTCTCTTTCAACAGGGCCAGAATGACCAGATGAAGACGTCAGGGTAACACAGTTCAATTTCTAAGGTAACCCCTTGCCACTTGCAAGGAATTCTCCGGGATTCACTGACTGACATACACAGGGAGTTATAATGAGTACAATCAACTCTTTCACACTTTCAGCTAGAGGCAGTTACAAAGAGTTTCAGAGGGGAAAAAAACACACAATTAAAAATCAGCTTTAAATCCATTCCCTTGGGGATTGGGAGGTAGAGGGTGGGAACATGGAGAGAACCCGGGAGGGAGGGAGGGAGGGAGATTTTTCTCCATCTGCACTTCGGTAACGTTCCATTTTGAATCTTGTAAATGTATTACCCATCCAAATAAATAAAAGTTACAACCTGAACTGTTTAAGTACAATAAATATAAATATACGAATATATAAAGTATTAGAATATATAAGAAATGTCCGCAGAGGTTAACTCCTAAATGCCAGACGATGAGACCACAGGTGATTTTAATCCTTTTACGTAGTAACAGTTTCTAAATTGTAAGAATAACAACAGAGCACTTTCTATGTATTAAATGTGTAGCTGGTTTCTATGGGAAACACCCCACAAACACTCATTTCTCCCAGCAATCTCTGAGGCAGGGAATATTTTTCCCCCATCTTACAGATGAGGAAACTGAAGCTCAGAGACACGGATTAGGAAGCCCAACCTCTTCATTCCTTTGCTATGCTGGAGGGTACAGCACATACCGTCACCTTCAACAGCTTCCACACACAGCCCTGGATGCAGAGGGCTGCCCACTGAAGGTGCAGGCTGTTCTGTGGCCAACGGCTTGGTTTCAGGTCATGGGAGCGGCGTGGCCAGCATGCCAGCGCGTCAGTGCCCAAAGGGCAGCCCGCTACCAAAGATGGTGGGGAATAGGTGCATCAACACCCCAGCTCCCTCCCTCACTGGGTGGGGGTGTGGGGGGGCGGATTTCAGTCTTTTTTTTTTTTAATGTTTGTTTATTTTTGAAAGAGAGACAGCGGGAGCAGGATAGGGGGAGAGAGAGAGGGGAACATAGATTCTGAAGCAGGCTCCAGGCTCTGAGCTGTCAGCACAGAGCCCAACACGGGGCTGGAGCTCGTGAACTGCGAGATCACGACTGAGCCGAGATCAGAATGTTTAGCCGAATAAGCCACCCTGGCGCCCCTGGTTCTGCAGTCTTGATCACACCCCCAACGGCTCCTTGCCTTCCCTGTCTCACCTCCACAGCTGCCCCATACTCCCTGCAAAGAACGACACTCATGCTCACATCCCTGCCTCAGCGGGGAGCCCAATGGAAAACACAGAAGGGTGCTCGGTGTCCCTACCTTGACTGGTGGTTACCAATGGCAACCAGGAACAGCACCCTTCCCCCAACCAAACTGCCAAGCACTCCCTAGATGCTTGGGGAAAAACACCCAGAGTGATTTTCTTCCTGGATCATTAAACCATGGCATCGCACCGAACACAGAGTCCAGAAACGAAATGAGCCTGCATGACTTTTAACACAGGAAAATGGCAAAGAGGTGATCCCAGGTGTGTCTGGGCCAGAGAGAAGAATGATTTTCCTAACCCAGAGGTGGGGACACAAGCCAGAGCTCCAACTAGAATCTGGGGAACCCGATTCATGATGTAATTATTCTATATCTACAAGCAATTTATGTATATAACTATATATAACTATGTATTGCTTATACGTATTATGTATAATATAGTGGTATTTATTACTATATGTATTTTATGTATTTATATGTACTATATAGCTTATATAATACTAATCTATGTAATATACAAATGTATACTTATTTATATGACACAGAAATTGCTTGGCCTAAGGATTCCATAAATACAGGTTCTCCCAGCTACGGAATCTTGTGTAAACTGCCCACAGGACCACACAGCAGGCATGATCTGGAAACCATCGACTTGGACCCGGAATCTGGTTAGTTTGTTTGTTTTTAAGGACAGAAGGCTATAGTGAACACCTCAGAAATACACAATTACACATGCACACACACAGGGGAAAAAAAGTCTCCAAATGACCACCAAGTACATGAAAAAAACTCATCTTCACCGGTCACCGAGAAAGCAAGATTAAAATCACAGTGAAAAACTACTCCACGTCTCCCATAACGGCGCAAATCACAAAGACGGACATTTGCAAGTGCTTTCGAGGATGCAGAAGGTGCAAATGGTTTGAAACCTTGTAAAACTGTTTGGTGAAGGCCACGAAGGCCGCCCTACAGCTCACCCGTTGCTGGGTGCCCAATAGAGATGGATGCTCACTCCACAGAAGACGCGTACATGGATGTTCCTGGCAGCTGCGTTCATAATAGCCAGAACCTGGAAACCACCTAGCTGCCCGTCAATGGTGACAGGATAAATCAATTCCGGCATATGCATATGATGGGGTATCCCACAACAATGACAAAAACGAACCACCGTGACATGAAGAACACAGATACATTCCTCACACATGAGCCGCAGACGCACAACCAACCCAAAACGGGTGTGTGTGTACGAGTACACTTACGTGAAGTTCAGGAAACAGGTAAAACTACCCCACGGTGATTAAAGGTAAAGCAGCAATAATCTTTGAGGCTTATGGGTGGAAAGAGGTACAAGGGAGCATTTCTGGGAGCCTAGAAATGTTCTATATCCCGATACCAGGGGTGGTTACATGTAACGTACATACATCAACAGGCATCTAGTTTATACTTAAGGTTTGTATACTTTTCGTAAGTAAGTTATACCTAAGAAAACAAAGCCTAAAACTTCAGTAGCCTCCAGGTGCTCACCAGAGAAAGCCACACCCTTCACCATAGCCCAGGGTGATTGTGATCTGTCCTGTCCACTCCCATGACTCCTCTCTTGCCAAATCCTCCCCACCTTTTTTTCCTCCTGGCTCCAGACTTACTCATCCTGGAAACCAGTTTGCTTTGACAGGGAGGGTGTCCGGATCTAGAAAGAAATCCACCCTCAGAAGGCAAAGACACCTGCAGGGATTGGCCTGAGTGATGTCAGCACCCACATACACTAATGCAGCAACGGCTCCCTGATTAGATGCCTCTTCCTCTGGGAAGCCTTCCCAGACCCACACCCCAGGTAGGAGTCCCACAACTTGCTGCTTCTTTAGGACACTGACCCCTCTGTTTTAAGTTGATTTATTTGTCTGCCTTGCCCCCTGAGGGCTGAGACCCCTCTGTTGTGCTCCCTGTTCTGTCCACAGAGCCTAGCAAGATGCATGGCACTAATAGGTACCCAATCAACATTCGTTGAAGCAAATGGATCTCTGAATGAGAAAATGAGTGATTTGAGGGAGGTTAAGAATAGGTTGGAGTAGAGGCGCCTGGGTGGCTTAGTCGGTTAAGCGTCCGACTTTCGCTTAGGTCATGATCTCGCGGTTCGTGGGTTCGGGCCCCGCGTCAGGCTCTGTGCTGACTGCCAGCTCAGAGTCTGGAGCCTGTTTCAGTCTGTGACTCCCTCTCTCTCTTAAAAAAAAAAAAAAAAGAATAGGTTGGAGTAAATAATGATTCTATGTACGTACACCTCAGTGTATGGAAGGTGAAATCTGGGCCCAGAGAGGGTAAGTGTCTTGCATAAAGTCACACAGCCAACAAATTCAGCATAGAACCTCCGGGAGACCTGGCTGCACCCTCCTCCTCCCAGTGCTGCACTCTTCCCTCATCTACTGGGAGGGCTGTCTGCTAACAGTTCACAGGTGCAACCTTTTCCAGGAGAGCCATCCTCCTACAGTCTGGCCCTGGACCCCCACCCTTCCTGTAAGCCCCCCACAAACCAAGGGCATCCATTGCCAATGGCACACTTCTATGGGGCTACCCAAGGCGGCTTCCCCTTGTCCCCAGGCAGAATCTGTTCTGTGGCTGCAGCGGTCCCCAGGGAATCTGACTAAAGCTAAACTTGATAGAGATCACACCCCCGCTCTGCCCCCTCCTGAGAGCACAGCCCCAGTCAATTTCTTCCTCAATGAGCATCTCAGGCTCTGTTTCTTGGGACCCCGACCTGAGACAGAAGGCAAGGCTTTGCATTATCTCCAGGGGGTGTGGCCGGCAGGCACTGCCCCCTGAATGTAAGTGTACAGTGAATGACAGTGCCAAGTGTGACCTCCCGAATGCCAGGAGCCCAGCCATAAGGAGATGCAACATCCGCACGCTTTGAGGCAGGGAGTCTCCCCTCTACTCCCAAGCCCTTCATTCTTTATATCTAGAAGATACGCAGAAGGACCCCATCTGAACATCCTTGCTTCCCAGCCACCAGCAGCAAAGCTCTAAAATGCCCCTCATTGCCTAGACAGTGCCGTCCACCAAGACAACCTGCTCAAACTTCAGCTCTTAGATCAGCCACCGGGGCAGGCGGGGGGTCAGTTCCCCATGAGTCACTGCGAGCCCTTCCCCTGAAGGCACCATACCGGGCCAGGTTACAGAAAACACTATCCGATCTCCTAAACTGGGATAAACACCACCTGCTGTCGGTTCTCCCAGACCCTACTTTGCCCAGCGTAATCACCAGTTATTAAGAGCTCAGAGGATGCCGTGTTTGGGGGGTTAGCATGCAGGACGGGTGGCCAGGAGCCGCCGGTCTCCTTGCCCTGTCTGTGGCCCTCTGTATGACCGTTCAGAGCGTGGGCTTCTGGACTCCACCCGCTGGGCGTCCAACCGCATCTCGGCCTCTACTAGCCGTGTGATCTTGGACCAGTCGCTCCACCCCTCTGAGCCTCGGCTTTCTTGTCTGTACTTCACATGTTTTCGTGAAGATTAAATGAGGTCACATGCAGACTTCACATGTCAATGGCTGTCCTCTTCAACAGTTGTTATTATTAATCATTTAGAGTGGTGGGGGGTTGGGGGGCTGCAGAGTTAGACCACTAGACTTGTGCACAGGTGCAGGAAAGCAGCAGGAAGCAGGAAGGAGAGGCTCGTGTGGTGTCTCAAACAATACAAGGAAGCAAAGGCACCTGGGACGCATATACAGCAGGCGCTCAGCATACAACCACTAGACTTGTGCACAGGTGCAGGAAAGCAGCAGGAAGGAGAGGCTTGTGTGGCGTCTCTAACAATCGAAGGAAGCAAAGACACCTGGGAAGTGTATACAGCAGGTGCTCAGCACATAGGAGGTCCGCTTATTATAAAGCAGAAGGTGAACCCAAGGAAAGGACCTCTCTGGTTCAGAGATCCTTTTATGTCCAAAGTGGCAGCTTTGCGCGACAGCCCCGGACCCATGGCAGAAGCAGGGACCAGTAGCCTTCCCCGCCCCCGCCACTGCCTCTAAGCACAGGCTGGGCTGCACCTGAGCCGCAGTCGCCCTCTAGCCATGCCTTGCGTGGCAGCCACCAAGGGAAGAGGGGGCCTCACCCAGATCCGCCTGCACAGCGGGCAGCTTTCCAGCGGTGCTGTGACAACTCAGAGGCCTTTCTGTAGCCTCCCCAAGGCTTCCAGCGGGCCGCCCACAGGGTAGGCTGCTCATTAGCATCTTCTCATGGTGCCCCACCACCCAAATGAACCACTTGCTCCCTCCGGCGTCCTTGACTCAGGCTCTGCTTCTCGGGAAGCCCGACTTAAGACACCCCTCACTCCTAGAATCTGACTCCTAAGAGACGGATCTGCTCAGAACAGCCGTTCGGCCCTACTGTGAGGCATACCCTGCTGTGAAATGGGTCCACAGCTCCCAGGGGGCCTACCAAGACCATGTGAGGTTCTACCGTGTGCATGGGCCAACTTTTTCAAAGTTGCTCTTTTACCAATTTATTCCAAAAAAAAAAAAATGCATTGACCCACTGTGTGCCAGACCCAGTGCTTGGTGACAAGGCCACAGTGAAGAACTCAAAAGTCAGAGTCACTGTTTACACAAAGTTTAGAGTTAGGAAGTGAAAAGGACTGGGAATGGAGAGGTCAACACCAGGATAAAGATGGCAGCATGGGATAAGGGAGGAGACGGGAATGGGGTCTCTGATGCCAAACACAATTGGGCCCCATGGACTCGGCGATTAAGGAAGGCTTCCTGGAGGAGGTGACATTTCAGCTGCATGACCTAAAGGGTCAGAGGGAGCCAGCCAAGGGAAGACCAGAAGGTCCAGAGTCATGAAAGAGCTCAGGGCATCGACGGAATAGAAATTTCTGCTAGCAGGGCTACAGTGAAGTGGAGGAAAGCAGCACGGCCTGAGTCTGGAGAGAGTGGGGCATGGGGATCTTGTAAGGCTCTGAGGCCGCCTGTAAGAGTACGTTGGGGGCTCTCCGAGAATCGACTTCCTCTCCCAGCCTCCCCCTGCATTCTGATCTGCCTTCCCGAGTGGGAGAGGTTGGAGTTACCTCCTGCCTGCCAGGAGCCTCACTGGGCCCCCAGGCCCAAGGGGAGGGTGTCTCACATGTCACCTCCTCCATCCTATGCATCTAGGTGAGAACTGTTGGCTTCAGGGCAGGGACAGGGAGAGGCAGGGAGAGATACTTCAAGGAAGTGGGTATCTGAGTTGGAGGAAAAGCTTTTGGTCACAGGTTATAGCACATGAGCTCAAATTCATGCCTTTGTGACCCTGGACAAGTTTCTTGTCTTCCTCAGCCTCAGTTTCCTCACCTGTCAAATGGGTAGATAATCCTATCAACTTCTTTTTTTTTAATTTTTTTTACATTTATTTATTTTTTGAGAGACAGAGTAAGACAGAGCGTGAGTGGAGGAGGGTCAGAGAGAGAGGGAAACACAGGCTCCAGGCTCTGAGCTGGCTGTCAGCACAGAGACTGACGCAGGGCTCGAACCTGCGAACCGTGAGATCATGACCTGAGCCGAAGTCGGACACTTAACCTACTGACCCACTCATGCACCCCTCCTATCAACTTCCAAAAGCAGCTGAGAGACTGGCTGAGAACATAAAAGCACTTGGCACCATCTATGTACTGATTCCATTTTTCTGATGATCTACTACGCACGAGGCACCACACACGGAACCAGGATACAGCTGTGAACACGACGGGGCCGGCTCGGGTGCACAGGGGAGACACACGAAGCTGACCCGAGTCAGTAATTCCAACGACAAGGTTCTCTGAGCACACAGTAGGGGCACCCCGCAGTCTGAGCCCCGGGGCCCCCCTAAAAGCCCAGAGCCCACAGTCACAACAGGAACCCTGCAAGCTAAGACTCCTGTCTCCAGGCAGAGACCTGAGTACGGCCATATGTAACGAGTCCAGCTCCCTAGGGGCCGTGCTCGGCTGTGCCAGGCCCCTACCCCCAGCCCTGAACCCCAAAGACAACCTCTCGAGAGGTTAACAGCGGGTGTGGTCAATGCCAAGGGAGGCGTCTGCCAGCGCGAGCATGAATCACGTCCTGCCTGCTCTGGAGAGGGGGAGGGCCCACCAGACCTGTGTCTGAAAACGCTGATCCGAGCAGCCGTGCCAAGCAGGGGACGTGCCAAGCAGGGGACGGGAGGAGGCACGGGAGCGGCCACAGGGAGGCAGGGCAGACCCCCGGGGAGGTCCGCCCCTCCCCACGCTGGGGGAACGAATGGCCCCACCCACACACTTACTGTGCCTGTCCCCAGCCCTCAAACTTTGGACAGAGGTTCCCTCCTGACTCCTCCCCATTACCCTGCGACTAAGCGTTATTATTGTTTTTCCCACTGGCGGAAGGGGGAAACTGAGGCTTACAGAGATTAACTGCCTTGTCCAAGGTCACTCATCCTGCCGCATGCTTGAGGCCGAAAGTCTGAATCACTGGCAGGAGTAAAGAGAGGGGACAATCCTGAAAACATGGAGGAATGGGTCCCCAAAGCCAGCCAGAGTGACGGGCACTGCCTGGGCCGGCCCTGTGGCAAGGCACCGTGACACAGCAGTCAAGGGGAGGCCCGTAGTCCTGGCTTGTGACTTTGGCCATGTGTCCTGAGTCTCAATTTACCTCCATGGGCAGAAAAGGGCCCAGGACAGGGGCGCCTGGGTGGCTCAGTTGGTTGAGCATCTGCCTCCAGCTCAGGTCATGATCTCACAGTTTCACGAGTTCAAGCCCTGCTTCGGGCTCTGTGCTGACAGCTCAGAGCCTGGAGCCTGCTTCAGATCCTCTGCCCCCCTCTCTCCGCCCCTCTCCCCCTCTCTCTTTCTCTCTCTCTCTCTCTCAAAAATAAACATTAAAAGAAAAAAAAAAAGGGCCCAGCACAGCCATGGAGCCCTGGGCCCTTCCCGCAGGTGAGCACAGAAGACCCAGCATCCGGGCTAGCACAGAAGTCTGAGGCCGGCACACTGGAAGGGGTCCCCTGCAAGGCCGGGTCACCACAGGGCCACCGCGGCTCCACGCCTCAAGGAAGGGCATGGCCAGGGTGCAAGCCAGCGCCTGCTGAGACATGCGTGTCAACACCCGGAGGTGGTCCGTCACCCTGGGGCCGTGCTGAGCCCAACGCCAGCGCCCAGGGCCACCGCCCATGTGTGCCCGCGTCTGGCACACGCGTATGCGAGAATGCTCGGGTCCAGGGACTTGGGCGGGCACAAGATGCACGTGTATACGTGGGCTGTGAACCAAGCTGGGGGCAAGGCCGTTTCGACAGTGAGCGGCATACAGGTTCGCTGGTCAGCACTGCCGGTAGTTAAGGAGGGAAGGGAGGGAGGTGGCGGTGAGGCTGAGGGGCAGCGAGCAGGTGGGAGGCTGGGCGGCAGTCGTGGGGGCCTGCCAGCCGGGTGTGCAGCTGTGGGTCTGAGCAGCTGTCTGTGCCCCGAGCTGGGGGGGTGGGGGGTGGTCGTGCAGTGGGACGCGGCTGTAGTTAAGAGCATAGACTCCGGAGGGGACCTGGGTGGCTCAGCGGGTTAAGCATCCAACTCTTTGATTTTGGCTCAGGCCATGATCTCACGGTTCTGGAGTTTGGGCCCCACACTGTCAGCGCAGAACTGCTTGGGATTCTCTCTCTCTTCTTCTCTCTGCCCTGCCCGCCCCCCTCTCTCAAAATAAATACACTTAAAAGAAGAAAGAGCATGGACTCTGGAACCATCTGCCTGGGTTTATATGCTGTGTGATCCTGGGCAAATTATGGCGCCTCTCTGAGCCGAGGTGCCTCATCTGTAATATAAGAATAATAGGGGCACCTGGGTGGCTTAGTCGGTTAAGCGTCCGACTTTCGCTTAGGCCATGATCTCGCGGTTCGTAGGTTCGAGCCCCGCGTCGGGCTCTGTGCTGACTGCCAGCTCAGAGCCTGGAGCCTGTTTCAGTCTGTGACTCCCTCTCTCTCGACCCTCCCCTGCTCAGCTGTCTCTCTCTCTCTCTCCTAGAAATAAATAAAAATATTAAAAAAAAAAAAAAAGAATAACAGCACATCTGGGGCAGGGGTGTGGGGGAGCGGCGTGAGGATTACATTCGTGAAAAGCACTAGCACAGCGCCTGGCACATGCTAAGTGTTCAGCAAAGAGCACCTCGTATTACAACTGTGGTGACGATGACGTCTGTGCATCCCCATGTGTGTGCAAGACGTCAAGGTAGGGCTAGAAGTGACCTCATGTGTCTGTGGGGGGTGGGGGTCGCCCCCATCTTTACCTCATGCTCTGGGGGCCAAAATACAAATATGTTCCCTGCCCCTGTCCTAGCATTTATTCACCCCCAAGTCAACCAATTAAAACGCAAAAGAAGCCAAGGTGTCATTTGCACAACTCAAGAATGGCCATCTGGGAAGCAGGACACTAACCGTGTCCCCCCAACTCCCCGCCAGCGGCCCCTCCAGAGACAGCAAGGAATGGCAGGCAGGTAGCACCCCTGTCCTCAGGTGGCTCATGGTCAGGGGTGGGGGAATATGGGCGGAATTCGAAGAGACAAAAAACCCAAGACAGATGTCAATATAAACTGATGGGAGGGAAGGGAGCACATCGGGAAGGTGCAATAGAAGGATGACAGCAGGAACAGCTTATGCAAAGGTCCTGAGGCAGGAGGCCTTTGGGTGGGGGGGGGCGACCGTTCACCACACCCCAGGGCCTGAGGGTACCAGGTGCACGAGGCTCTAGAGATGAACTCACAACGTGTGGAACAATCTAAATGTGCAGCCGCTGGGGACCAGTCAAACAGACCACAGCTTCTGACTTGTCAGCAATTTTCTATACTTCTTCCAGAGGAAACTTACACACTGGTGACAGAAGAAACCAGTTCATGGCATGTTGTTAAGTGAAAGATAGGAAGCTGCAAACCTGTATAGATCTGGGGTTCTGCAAAGTAATAATAATAATAATAATAATAGCAGCAATTATAATCAGCACGATCCATTTGTAAGAAAAACTAATGCACGCACAAAAATGCACAAATCCCCCTTGCCAGAATTTCACAGGGGATGGGCCTCTGGATGACCCTTCCTGCTCTTTGGACTTACAATGTTTTATCAAAAATAAAAATTTATTTTTATGTTTAGCAAAAAGTGAGGAAAGCTTCCTGCCCTCTCCTGCCCAGATCCCTGAATCCCAAGGAAGTTTCTGGAGCGGTGTTTTCCCGAGGGCAGCCTTTTTGTGTTCCACTCTCCAATAAACAAAGCCCGCTGGGCAGAGGCCACTGGCGGGTGGACACTCAGCCGTGCACCCTCCCCGCGCCGACATTGCAGCTAAGACAACAGCAAGTGTTTTCACGGGGCCACAGGGAGGGGGCTCTGGAACTCTCACTAAGCCTCGGGAACGCATCCCACATAGTTTCTTCTCCACCCGCGGACCCTCCCTTTCCTGTGGCTCAGGGTCAGCCCTCCTCCCACACTCTCGCCTGGGGCCAGCGTGTCCCCCGCGAGTCCTGACCAGCCCTGAATTCCTGGGGCCTGGAAGCCCAGAATCTTCCATCTTAAAGACCACACAGCCCAAGATCCCTTGTTCCACCGGCAAGGACACTGAGCTCCGGGAGCAGATGTGAGCGGCCCCGGGGACATCCAGGAACCCAGAGCAAGGTTCACACTTGAACCTGGGCTTCCTCACCAGGACCACTCATCTAACCAATGTGCATTAATTAAGCACCTACTATGTGCCTGGCGCTGCTCTGACCACCGGGGATGTAGCCGCAGGGCTAGGTGATAAGAGGCAAGGGTTGGGGGAGCAGCCCTAGCCTGGGGTGGCAGCAGGGCGAATGAGGAGGACTCTCTGAGGAGGTGACATCTGAGCTGACACCTAAAGGAGCCTGCCATGCAAGCAGCCAGGGAAAGAAAGAGTGTTCCAGAAAGAAAGCCTGGGAGGCAGGGCCATGTGAGGAAAAGTCGTTTTGAAAAGCGGTGGCAGCCGTGTCAGCAGGGCCTCCCCAGAAAGGAGCATGGGTCTGCTTCGATGTGGGACAGGAAGCCCCTGGAGGGCCTTAGTGACCCTTCTGGAAGCTCACCCCGGGGCATCCCAGGGAGAATAAACTGTGGAGCGCAAGAGTGGAGGCCGGGAACCAAAGAGGAGTGGGGGTGGGGTTAGGGGTGGGAGATGGGGGTGGCCTGGACCCGGGAGGTGACAGTGGGGGAGATAAAGGAGACAATGGGACTTGGGACCATCCACACAAGAGGGTGGAAGAGCATGAGACCTCCCCCCCCAACATGAAGCCAAGGAGAGTCAGAACCGAAGGGACCCCAGAAAACATCAATTCAAACCCCCCACAGCGTGGGGGCAGTGAGGGTACTGGGCTTGCTCATCCAACACCGAGGGCAGGGAGTCAGAGAGATCTGGGTTCACATCCTGAATCCACTACTTAACTAGTTGCAGGGCCTTGTGAGTCACTTTCTCTCCCCGAGCCTCAGTTTCTTGCCTATGAAATGGGGATAATGATGCCAAGTCCAGCCGGACCTGGAAAGCCTCAGTACGGTGCCCGGGGCAAAGCAGTTCCCTCTCCCTTTCCCTCCATCTTCGGGTCTGATGCCTGCCCGCAATTCTCAGAGGAGTCAAACTGCCCCGAAGACCAGCTTTAACCAACTACCGTAAACAGTGACTCGCTTCCCAAAGGATCACATGAAGCAGAAATGGGAATCCTTCCCAAGGAGGGGTTCGGAACAGAGACACCCTAAACATAACAACTGCACTCCCAATTCCAGGACTGGAGCTGGCGGGGAGGGGGGTATCTTGACCAGCAGATGACACTGGGCTGCACGGGGCGGGGCTGGCCATTCATGTCTGGCTGTGACATATCCCTCTCCTGCCCTGAAAGTGGAGCAAAGACAAACCTAACTCGGGGTTCAGAGGCTTCAAGGTCAGGCTCAAGATCCAGGCTCAGCTTCGGAAAAAAAATCACTCTCTCGTCCTGTGCCTCAGTTTCCCCACTTGTAAAGCACAGAGAAGGAGCCTGGCCCTGCGGGGCTGGATGATTGGCTGTTGGGGAAGGGCTGCATGGGCTGGGGGCTCAGGAGACCCGTTCCCAGGGCCTAAAGAATGGCTACAGAGGGGCGCCTGGGTGGCTCCGTCGGTTGAGTGTCCAACCTCGGCTCAGGTCATGCTACCACCCTTCGAGCCCATCTCTGTGCTGATGGCACCAGGCCTGGAGTCTGGATTATCCCGGCGGGCTCTAAATGCCATCAAACGTGTCCTTGTAAGAGGGAAGCACGGGAGACTTGCCTACAGAAAAGGCCACGTGACAGCTTCCGCAGGGAGACCTTTGAAGTTCCCTGAGCCGTCGCCTCCGAGGCTGGAGCAGGCAAGGAAGCGGACGCTCCCTCAGACTCGCAGCAGCCAGTTTCTGCGCAGTCTGACCTCCAGAACTACGACAAAATAAACGTCAGTTGTTTTAAGCCAGGAGGTCCGTGGCAGTTTCTTGCCACCGGCACAGGAAACGAATATAGAGGCCTTCACCACGCAAAGCCAGAAGGACTGGATCAATATTTATAGACAGATGCAATGCTGGACTGAATTAGAATTTCTGCAGGTGAAGCCCAGACACGGGTGTTTTTTTTAAGAGCTCCCAGAGAGATGTCAGGGTCCATCCAGGGGTGAGAAGCACCAGTCCGGGGAAGCTGCGGGGCTCGGATGCACAGCCCCTTCACACGCAGGCTCCCAGTGCGCTCATTCCCTGAACCGCGGCCACCTGTCACTCAGGTGCCTCCCCGCAGGGCTGCAAGTGCTTGAGGGCAGGGGTCCCGCTTATCACCCTTAACTCAGCATCACTGGGCAACTGTCACAGCAGCTGGTACACGCCGAGCCCCGTGGCTACGGAAGCAAACAAGACACAGACCGAGGAGGGATGACAGCATCAAGCCCAGAAGCACTAAGACCCCCGGGGGGGGTCTCCCTGGGGGTAGAAGATAGAGTAGCAGAGGAGGGAGGACCAGAAGCTGCCCGAGGGAAGCGTCTGCAGGGGGGACATCTTGAAGCGGACACAGAATCCCAGGGCAGTGGTGCATCGTTCGCAACCCTGTGCACTCCCAACACTTTCCAAAAGCCCTACTCTGCCCAAGGGCTTGCTCTTACCCTGGGGGTCTGGGTGCGAGACAGGCCAGAAGCGGCCAGGAGGGAGCACCCCAAAGCAGCCTTCAGCCAGTGATGGAGAGGAGCTGGCGTACCCACCGCCCAGCTCCCCCGCCCTCAGGGTGATAACGGAGATGCAGTTGTGATGGCGGGCTTATGTCCTATGGTCCAAAAAGCTGATAATACTTACTATCTGGTCCTGTACAGGTGAAGTTGGTCCCCACTACCCTGAGGTGTGGGCCCTTGTCTGTCATCCCCATGGGTGAGTCCCTGGGGCCTGAACAGGGTTAGGCACAAACAGGTACACAAACAATAAGGGGGTGAGTGATTAACACAAGGCCCCGCCCCCAGGAGGGAGTTGAGCATCACCTAGGATTGCAATGCATGGAGGAAGGAAGGAAGGAAGGAAGGAAGGAAGGAAGGAAGGAAGGAAGGAAGGAAGGAAGGAAGGAAGG